AGGCGAGGCAGGACGAGACGCAGGCTCGCGACGCTCCGTAAGCGAGTCCGGCTGCGCAGTGTAAGGCACAGGAGCAGGGAGGGGGGAGCCAGGCTGGAGGGGAAGGCCAGTGGAAGACGGGAGGGAAAGAACCTGGCGAAGCACCGTGTCAGGCGGTGGCAAAGCCGACGGCGACGGCGGAGCGAAGAACAGTCGCGACGGCGGAGCTCCGCCAGTACCTCCAGCACCTGCAGCACCAGAAGCACCAGCACTAGTGCCCCCCGCCGCAGCACCCCCAGAGCCGGCGACGTCAGCACCAGAGGCCCCAGCAGCGGCAGACCTCCCCTCGCCAGCACCTCCAGAACCAGCAGGACCAACGCCTCCAAGACCGTCAGCTCCAGTGTCGTCAGCTCCAGCAGCTCCAGCACCTCCAGGAAGAGCACCCCCAGGGCCGGCAGCTCCAACTCCGCTCGTACCACCAGCTCCAGAGTCCCCAGCTCCAGCAGCTCCAGCCTCAGTGCTCCCAGAACAACCAGCCCCGGCAGCTCCAGTACCTCCAGTACGAGCACCTCCAGGACGAGCAGCTCCAGAGGGCCACGAGGACGGCGAAAGCGCCGGACGTACCAGTCACGAAGCTGCTGCTGTGTGAGAGACGGCTCAGCACCCCGAACCGGAGCACCCCCAGACGCAGCAACCCCAGGCTCCGTAGGCTCAGTCGCAGCACCCCCAGGCTCAGTACCCTCAGGCGCAGCACCCCCAGGCTCAGCACCCCCAGACTCGGCACCCCCAGGCTCAGTACACCCAGGCCCAGCACTCCCAGTCTCAGCACCCCCAGGCTCAGCACCCCCAGGCTCCGTACCCCCAGGCTCAGCACCCCCAGACGCAGTACCCCCAGGCTCAGCACCCCCAGGCTCCGTACGCTCAGGCACCGTACCCTCAGCTCCAGCACCCTCAGTCCCAGCACCCCCAGGCCCAGCACCCCCAGGCTCAGCACCCCCAGGCTCAGCACTCCCAGCAGCACCACCCGCAGCAGCACCTGAGTCACCTGTGACCTCGACAGGCTCAGCAACGGGAGGAGGGTCTACCTGAGAGACACCTGAAGGAGCAGGACCCTGAGGGGGAAGGGGGTCTACCGGAGGGGGACCAGGAGCGAGGAAAAGCGGCGGGGGAGGGAGGGGGGCAGTGCGGTAGGGGAAGAGACGGTAAAAAGGGACCGACTCGTCAAAGGTGACGTCCTGAGAGGCGAAGACCCGGCGCGAGGTGGGGTGGTAAAACTGCCAGCCAGGCGCGTCAGGGACAAAGCCAAGGAAGACACAGGGAAGCGTGCGGGAGGAGAGCTTGTCCGCGGACGTATCGCGGACAAGGGCACGAGCACCCCACACCCGGAAGCGCGACGCATCGCCAACCTCCCCCGTCCAACGCAGTGTGGGCGAGGTCTCCGGCAAGGAGACACGGGGCCAGAGGTTGAGCTGATGCGCGGCGTACCGGACAGCAAACGGCCACAGAAAATGGGGAGCCGCCGCATGGACCAAGGAGGTACGAGCGACCTCCATGACCAGGCCAATGCGGCGCTCAGCAACCCCATTCTGCTGTGGGGAGTCCGGAAGCGTGAAGGTCTGCTCGATGCCCTCCGCCTGACAGAAGGTCCTCAAGAGGTCGGAGGAAAACTCACCACCTCTGTCAGAGTGCAGACGCAGGACAGGAAGATCTGTCCGGAAACGGCGGCGGAGCTGGAGACGAACTGTGCGGATCCAAGGGATCAGAACAGCAGGGACCTCACCCTTGGTGCGCAAGGGGAAGACCGTGGTGTAGCGCGAGTAGTCGTCGACAACCAGCAAAAAGTACCGCTCACCGCCCTGGCCACGAACGCGGGCTGGGCCCCACACGTCCAGGTGGAGGGTCTATAGAGGAGCCTCTTTCGGGGGGAACGAGGAGGAGTGAAGAGCGGCGCGCTGCCGCCCCTCGACGCAAGGAAGGCAAGGCGGCGCAGGCGAGGCAGGGAGGGGAGGGAGGGACCTGGGAAGACCAGACACAAGGTGGCGACGGTGCATGCCACGGAGGCGTGGCAGGGAGGGGTGACCCAGGCGGTGGTGCCAGAGAAGAGTCTGGTGCGACAGGGAACGACACTCACAGGCGTGGGCTACCAGACCTGACGCGGACACCTGACCGACAGCAGCGACCTGAGGAGACGCAGTGGTCAGTGTGTAGAGACTCGACCCCGGCTGACGGGTAAACGTAGCCAGGTGACGGCCGGTCCTGGAGCACGTGAGGATCGCCACACGCTGTCCTCCAGGGGTAAAGGTGTCAACCCACTGATCCTGGATGACAGCGTTGCTCACCAGGTTCGTCGAGAACGAGGGGAGGTGGAAACCCGACAACGAGCCAGACGGAACCGCCGGACACGGGAGCACAGTGGTGGACCGTGCCAGGACTGGGCCCCCCGAGGGGTCAGCCAAGGAGACTGGGACCGGTGCAGGAAGCGGTGTGAGCTCAGTACTGTCACGAAAGAAATAGTGGGAAGCACCTGAGTCAAGGGTGAAGGTGTGACAGGCCTCAGCCGGTGCAGTACCTGAGAGAGCAGTCTCTGTGGGTGCTGTACCTGAGAGAGCAGACTCACAAGCAGCAGGGACAGTACTGGAGGGAGCAGCCACAGAGGGGACCGTACCAGAGAGAGCAGACTCACTAGTACCTAGGGCAGCGGGCTCTATACCTGGGTCAGGCGGCACACACAAGTAACAGTCTCCCTCGGCACTAACAGTCAATGCATACATGGCAGCAATGATAGCATCATAGTCAAGAGCAAAGATATCAACACCAGCCCTCATCAGCTCCGCCCAGCGGGGGCGCTCAACATCCTCGCCCATCTCCTCACGCCAAGCGTCGTCAAGGCGGGAGAAGCAGCGGTACGGGGTGTGGAACCTCCCACACGTCTGTCCCTTGCGGTCACCTGTGCGAATGACATAGGAACAGCGGCCACTGCCCCCCGACGTCCCACGCTGAGCAAGCCACTCACGAAGCTGCTGGGTCGTCTGGGGACGCTGCTGCTGGTGGGAGCTCTGGCCCGAGCCAGTGCCTCCACTCCGACCTCCGCCGCCACCACTACCTCCGCTCCGACCGCCACCGCCGCCACCGCCACCGCCGCCGCCGCCACCGCCGCCACCGCCGCCGCCGCCACCACCGCCACCGCTCCCTCCGCCGCCCCCGCCTCCGCTGCCGACCCCACTCCCACCAGCACTCCCGCCACCGCTCCCTCCAGCACCGCCTCCCCCCCCACCTCCCCCACCTCCTCCCCCCCCAGCGCCACCCCCGCCACCCTTGCCCCCCTTGCCCTTGCCGGTGCGGCGCCTCCCACCAGGAGCAGAAGCAGCGCCAGCAGACTCAGCACCAAGGAAGTCAACAGCAGCAGCAGTAGCGTAGGAGGGAGCGAGGGGAGAGGGAGAACACCCCTCAAAGATGGGGGTGCGAGGAGCGCCACGAGCAGCACCTACAGCTACAATGCTCTTCTCGGCTGCTAGCAGTTTCTCCTCTAGGAGGGCGACAGTGAGCTCAGTGGGACAGCGAGCAAGGAAATAGTCGCGCACTGAGCTAAGGGTGTCAGGGAGACGGGTGACTATGAAGTGGAGTGTCCAGTACAGTGGAGGGGGGTTCTTAGCGCAGAACTCGGTGGGAAGGGCGGCACGCAGGCGAGCGTCACTAGTGCGAAGGTGGGTGATAAGATCGGCGACTGTAGCAAAGGTGGACAGCTCAGGGAACAGGTAAGGCAGCATAAGGCGGCTAAGCTCGGCTGTGGCAGGTGAGGAATAGCGGGCAACGACAGCGTCGTACAGGGCCTTAGCGGTTTTGCAGTCGCCAAAATGCTCGAGCTCAGCTAACGGCAGGTGACTGCGAATGGCTAGGCGAGCAGCTGCGTCACGAGTCTGCCAGTGGGAACGAACACTAAGCTCTGCTGTGGCAGGAGGGGCAGGCGCAGCACCAGACGCGTAATCATAGAGCGACACATGCTCCTTGCTATCGCTCAGGAGGAACAGCTGCAGGTCATCTAGCCAAGTGGTGAACTGCACAGGGCGGCCCTCAGCATCGAACGAAAGCACGCGGATGGAAGCCATAGCGACAGTACGGCAGAGCAACGCAAGCTACCACAGCAGGGGCGGGCAATTGCGCACGGGCAGGGAGCAGCAGGCGGCGCTGCAAGCGGGCAGCGCGGCGGACGGGCGGCTCTGCAAGTGGGCAGCGCGGCAGGCAGGCGGCGCTGCAGGCGGGCAGCGCGACAGGCGGGCGACTCCGCAAGCGGGCAGCGCGGCGGGCGGGCGGGCAGCGCGACGGACGGCGCGGGGCACAGCGGGCGGCGCGCGGGGCTGCAAGGCAGCTCGACGGGCTGCGCGGGGCAGAGCGGGCGGCGCGCGGGGCTGCAGAGCCGAGCGACGAGCAGCGCGGGGCAGGGCGGGCGGGTCGCGGGGCTGCGCAGCAGATCGACGGGCGGCTCGGGGCACAGCGGGCGGTGCGCGGGGCTGCGAGGCAGCGCGACGGGCAGCGCGGGGCAGAGCGGGCGGCGCGACGGGCAAAGCAGGGGAGGCGCGCGGGGCTCTGGGCTGGCAGGACGCCGGTCGGCAGGGCGCACGAGGGCGCTACAAGGGCGCTACGAGGGCGCTAGGGCGCAACGAGGGCGCTACGAGGGTAGGGCGCGGGGGTAACGCGGTAACCGCAGCGTGCGGTGGTGGGCCCTAAAAAAAAACGATCGGATGGTCCTAGGGACCACCTGCTCTGAATACCATATCAGAATACTAGCGTGAGAATGGGTGCATTGAAAGAAACAGTTGGGTACAAGTAGCTAACCCTAGTTGGGGTTGTACCCTATATTGGCTACCCCACTACAGCCTACCAACATATAACACATTACAACTTAACAGTACATCCTAAACTACTGCTCACTGATCTAACATCTTTCCAAGGCTCCCTCTATCTATAAAGTATGCTGTAGACAAAAATGGCTTGCTTTACGTAAGTATGGACTTGGTGCGATGTCAGTCGTCAGTGCTGGGGCTGGATAGTCGGTACACCCACGTGCGTCGCTGCCGCACCACCAGCTGCCAGAAGCCCTTTTCCCACGGCCCCTCCGCCCTCCACCCCTCCACTCCCCCCTCCACTGTGCCGCCCTGTCTGCCCTGCCCATGGCGGCCCACCATGGCTCTACAGCTGCGCATGGCACCACTCTTCACCGCACTGCTGTCCACCAAAGACACTTGTCCACCTTGGCACCTCGTCCCGCCTTGGCTTGCAGGCCATGCATGCTCTTGTGAGCCTCCTCCTCCCATAACGACACCTCCCATAACGACACCTTCCATTGTCCGCGCAACAGCCCTGCCCTCTCTCAACGCCCCTGCACTGCCGTCCCCTCCACTCACCTCCGCCAACCTCCTCTGCTTCACCGGACTCACTGCTGCTGCCACCATACCCAGCCCCACCCTCTCCTCATCCTCTGCCTTCCTCTTCTCTCCCCTTGCTCCAACCGCCATCCTAGCCTGCTCCCCTCGTATCAACAAGTGCCCTACCTCTCTCCTGCCCCGCCTGCTCCTCCGTCCCTTGCTCTCCCACGCCCAGCGCCACTCGCTGTTGCTGCTCTTCTCACTGGCACTGCTGCCAGCGCACCCACCGCCACGTGTGGCTGCAGCACTGCAATGAGCACGAGGCGAGGGGGCAGCAGTGCCACCAGCACTGCCCGGCCACGTTCCTTCTTGTGCGGAGCGGGGCTTCTTCCTCCGCCGCCCGCCATCCCACACCATCCACAGCTGCCGCCGCCGCCGCCTGTTCGCCCCTCCACTGCCCCGCTGCTGCCCCTCCTGCTGCCCCTCCTGCTGCCCCTCCTGCTGCCCCTCCTGCTGCCCCTCCTGCTGCCCCTCCTGCTGCCCCTCCTGCTGCCCCTCCTGCTGCCCCTCCTGCTGCCCCTCCTGCTGCCCCTCCTGCTGCCCCTCCCGCTGCCCCTCCTGCTGCCCCTCCCGCTGCCCCTCCTGCTGCCCCTCCCCTCCCGCTGCCCCTCCTGCTGCCCCTCCTGCTGCCCCTCCTGCTGCCCCTCCTGCTGCCCCTCCTGCTGCCCCTCCTGCTGCCCCTCCTGCTGCCCCTCCTGCTGCCCCTCCTGCTGCCCCTCCTGCTGCCCCTCCTGCTGCCCCTCCTGCTGCCCCTCCTGCTGCCCCTCCTGCTGCCCCTCCTGCTGCCCCTCCTGCTGCCCCTCCTGCTGCCCCTCCTGCTGCCCAGCGTGCGGCGCCACCATTGCGCCCAGCATCGTCGTTGCGGACCATGGCAGTGGCTGCGCGGCTGCTGCCCCGCCCAGCACCTTCTCAGCACCCTTCCCGCCCAGCACCTTCTCAGCACCCTTCCCACGCACAGCATAGGCGCAAGCATTACCCGTATCAGTGCCAGCGTCAACATGAGCATCAAAATTAACTTCGGTGTTAGCACCAGAACCAGCATCAGCATCAGTATCAGCAGCGGCAGCAGCAGCAACATGAGCATGAGGGCGCGCAGAAGCAAGGGCATGATGAGGAAGATGAGGTGCAGGTTGATGGCAAGAATCTCCATGCACATCACTGCCACCATCACGCCCCCCCACTGCACCTGCTACTGCTGCTACCGCCTCACCTGATGCATCACCTGATGCATCACCTGGTGGGCAGGCCACGTCACACGCATCTAGTTCCCCCTCGCCACTCGCACCCCCCTCGCCACAGCACTCGCTGCTTCCTCCGTCTTGCCTGCACACTCCAGTGCAGCTGCCACGTCGCCCCTCACACTCACGTCGCCCCTCACACTCACGTCGCCCCTCACACTCACGTCGCCCCTCACACTCACGTCGCCCCTCACACTCACGTCGCCCCTCACACTCACGTCGCCCCTCACACTCACGTCGCCCCTCACACTCACGTCGCCCCTCACACTCACGTCGCCCCTCACACTCACGTCGCCCCTCACACTCACGTCGCCCCTCACACTCACGTCGCCCCTCACACTCACCTCGCCCCTCACACTCACGTCGCCCCTCACACTCACCTCGCCCCTCACACTCACGTCGCCCCTCACACTCACCTCGCCCCTCACACTCACGTCGCCCCTCACACTCACGTCGCCCCTCACACTCACGTCGCCCCTCACACTCACCTCGCCCCTCACACTCACGTCGCCCCTCACACTCACGTCGCCCCTCACACTCACGTCGCCCCTCACACTCACGTCGCCCCTCACACTCACCTCGCCCCTCACACTCACGTCGCCCCTCACACTCACCTCGCCCCTCACACTCACGTCGCCCCTCACACTCACCTCGCCCCTCACACTCACGTCGCCCCTCACACTCACCTCGCCCCTCACACTCACGTCGCCCCTCACACTCACCTCGCCCCTCACACTCACCCGCCCTTCCCACACTGCCTGCTCGCAATGCCCCTTGCTCGCTATTCCATTCCCCCTCACCTCTCGCCCCACCTGCCCCCTCGCCGCCATCCCTTTGCTCCTTCACTCCTCCCTCTCTCCCTTTCTCCGTTTCTACCTCTCTTCCTTCATCCATACCTCTTCCTTCATCCATACCTCTTCCCTCGCCTCCCCCTTTTTTTTCCTCCCCTGCTTCCTTCCCTCTTCCCTCCTCTCCTTCCTCCCCTCCTTCCACCTCTCCTCCCTCCTCTTTTCCCTCCCTTTGCCTTTCCCCACTTTCCTCCTTTCCTTCTTCCCCTCCACCCTCCTCTGCTATGTCCCCTCGTTTCTCCCCACATTCTTCCCCTCTCACTTCCTCTATTACCCTCCCTCCTTCCCTTCCTCCCTCTTGAACTCCATCCCATTTTTCTCTTTTATTCCCTCCTCTTCCTCCTTTCCTCCTTCTTCCACTCCTCCCTCCCCTCCTCCTTCCTCTATTACCTCCCCTCTGTCCTGCCACATTTCCACCCCTAGTTCCTCCTCTCCTCCCTCTTCTCTTCTCTCCCTGTATCCTTCCCTTCTTTCATCCTCACCTCCCTCCCGTCCTTCCTCCTCTCTTACCTCCCCTCTTTCCTCCCCTCTTTCTTCCTTTCCTCCCTTCCCTTTTTCCTCCTCTCCTGCCTCCCCTCTTTCCTCCCCTCTTTCCTCCCCTCTTTCCTCCTCTCCTTTCTCCTCTCCTCCCACATCTCTGCCCTCCCTTTGTCCCGTCCCTCTTTCCCATCCTCCTATCTCCCCTATTTCATTCCTTCTTTCCTCCCCTCCTCCCCCGTCGCCCTCCACTCCTCCCCAGCGCCCTCCCCCCTCCTCCATTTCACACTGCGCCCTGTCTTTCTCCACCCTTGGCCGTGCTGACGTCACCAGCGCATCACCCCCCTCCGCCACCCCTGCCAGCACAGCCCCCTCACTGCTCCCCACCCGCCTCTTATCGCAGCCACCCCGCCCCCCACTGCTGCTACATCCCACTCCCATCCTCCCACAGCACCGCTCTTCACCGCTTCCCCTCCCCCGGCACCTCTCTTCACCCCTGCTTTGCTGGTCACTGAACGCCATCTGCTCATCCACTGCACCCTCCCCCGTTCCTTCCTCCCCCACTCCGTCCTTCCCCTTCCCATCCGCGCTTCCCACATCCCCCTCCTCCGCCTGCCACTGCTGCTGCTCTTGCTGCTGCTGCTGCTGTGACAACCCCCCAACCTCCCCAAGAGTTTCCTCCTCTTGCTGCTGCTCTTGCTGCTGCTGCTCCCCCACCTGCTGCTCCCCCACCTGCTGCTCCCCCACCTGCTGCTCCCCCACCTGCTGCTCCTCCTGCTGCGACAGCTGCTGGAGAACCTTTCCGACCTCTGCGTGGCTGTGCTCTTGCCCGCTTGTGTGCCACTTATGTCCCCCTACTTCCTCACGCCCCTCCTTCCGAGCCCTCCCTACCACCGCCTGCCACCGCTCCCCACCTGCTCCACCCACCTCGCCCGCACTGCTCACCGCCTCCCTTTCTCCCCCTCCCACCACTGCCGTATGGACTCCGTTTCCTTGTCCGTCTGCTGCTCTGCGAACTCCTTCTCCCCCATGCCACCGCCCGTGCACATGCCCATCAGCGGCCACCACAGAGCGTGGGTCAGGCAGCACAGCGGCGCGGGGAGGGGTGGGAAGGACCAGCACGCGGGGCATGCAGGTGGGGGGTGGCGGGGGACAGGGCACGGGACCAGCACGCAGGGAAGCAAGCAAGGGGGGTGGGCGGAGGTGGGGCAGAGAGGCGGCGGGCGGAGGAGCAAGCGAGGGGGAAGGTGGGGGCGCGGGCAGCAGGAGCACCTCCAGCGCAGTCATGTGGGCGCGCTGCCCTCGCTGTGCCTTCTCCTCCGCGCTCCCATTCGCATTCACGTGCCTCTGCCGCGCAGCACTGCCGTGAACGGCACTGCATGGGCCCTGCGGTGCCATGGGATGGGCGTGCAGGGGAGCGGGAGAGGGCAGGGCAGGGGGTGGGGTACCAGCAAGCCTCCCCATGGGAGGGCGCTGGTCTTCGTGCTCCCATGCGTGCCCCTGTGCTGGCCTCACAATACCCTCTGCTGCTCGCCTTGCATCCTCACCACACATGGCGTTCCCTGCTGTGACCTGTACCGCTGCAAGCTGCTCCCCTTGTACATGCATGTGTTCACCGTGCTGCTCCCCTTGTACATGCATGTGCTCACCGTGCTGCTTTATATTGCAAGGTTGGGTGGGGTGGGGCGGTGGCAGGTGGGGCGGTGGCAGGTGGGGCGGTGACAGGTGGGGCGGTGACAGGTGGGGCGGTGACAGGTGGGGCGGTGACAGGTGGGGCGGTGACAGGTGGGGCGGTGACAGGTGGGGCGGTGACAGGTGGGGCGGTGACAGGTGGGGCGGTGACAGGTGGGGCGGTGGCAGGTGGGGCGGTGGCAGGTGGGGCGGTGGCAGGTGCGGCAAGCAGAGTGGTGCATGGCAGGTGGCATGACAGTGGTGGTGACTGCCATGCTCGCCATGGTTGCATGCACCCTTGCCCCATGGCATCTCTGCACCACAATCACACGCACCACACTGTCCTTCCTCGCCCTCCCCTCTCACACACCAAGCATTGCCACCACAAGCCACGTCATCGGATGCCACGTCATTGCATGACTTTTCGTCAACGTCATCACCACAATGCCTGCCATCTCTGCACCCCTTGTCACCGCTCTCAACCACTGCACCCATTCTTCCCGCAGTGAGCCCGTCTATTGCGTCCTCCACCTCTCCTCTGCTCATGCCTACCCCCTGCCCTCCACTCCGCCGTCCCCCTCTCAGCCACCCCTCCCCCTCAGCCCCCCCACAGAACCCCTCCAGGTCATGCTCGTTAGAGAGTGACTCGATATCAGCCACATCCTCATCCCACCGCGCTGGTGCCGCTGGTCCCAGCGCTGCCAGCACGCCCACTGCTGCTGCCGCCCTCCCAGCCATGGGGTGCTCCTGGTGGAAGCATGCAGAGCGGTGGGGTGCGGTGGGGGTGGCAGAGAGAGCGGGTTGCAGGCGCAGGGCGAGGCGGTGGAGGGCGGGCGTGTGGCGGCGCAGCGAGATGACTCGCAGCGGCCCACAGCCACACGCGCTGTTGATGCTGGCTGGCCGGTGGGCGATAGAGGGGACAGGGGTGTGGGGATGGGGGAAGAGATGGGGGAGGACAAAGACGTGGTGAGACAAGGAAGGCGGAGGGGAACACAGAGGGGGGACAAAGACGTAGGGCTGAGAAGAGGGACGAAAAGAAAAGGGTTGCAGGAAGTGGTAGTGGGTGTAGATGGACAATGAAAAGGAGGGATACAGGGTGTGGCAATGCATGGTGGCACATGCGCTCACTCACACGCACACACTCACATGCACACACCCACACGCACACACTCACATGCACACACCCACATGCACACACTCACATGCACACACTCACATGCACACACTCACATGCACACACCCAAGCGTGGCCGCGTGCACGCACCGTGGTGCAGACAGATGGGGTCGCGCACACAGCAGCATGTCACCACGGCCAGGTGGCAGAGGCGGCAGCACAGCGAGCAGGGCAGCGCTGCTGACAGCTCTGGAAGCAGCGCCACGACGGCCCCTCGCTGCTCCATGGCCGCCTGGATGCGCCTCTCCTCGCCCACCAGCCGCACAAACTGCTCCACCGCGCCGCGCTCCACGCCACCCAGAGCCGCCAGGCGGGCTGGGGCGAGGTGACGAGCATCCATGGCATCACGCGAGTCAATGGAGTCAATGGAGTCAATGGAGTGAATAAGGTGAACGGGGTCAATGGGATCAGTGGGGTGAGTAGGGTGAGAAGGGTCAATGTGGGCAAGGGGCTTGGCGGAGGCAGGAGGCAAGGAGGGGTGAATGAGGTTAGCTTTGCCCATGGAGGGGTGAATGAGGTTAGCATTGCCCATGGAGGGAGGAAGGGCAAGAGGGTCAAGAGCATGAGCATCACCGCCGTCCTCACAGCGCCCTATCTGCACGCCACACCCACCGCTGCTTGCCCCGCCACCACGTGCTGCTGCTGCTGCTGCTGCTGCTGCTGCTGCTGCTGCTGCTGCTGCTGATGCACGTGTAGGCCCTAGCTGGTTGGCGTGGTCACCATGGCCCCCAGGGGGCCCCGGGCCGCTCTCCTTGCACGGCGAGAACACCACCACTGCATGCCGTGCTGCCTTCTCTGCTCTCTGCCCTCTCCCCCGCTCCTGCTCCTCTACCCCGCGCCCTTGTATCCTCGCTGCACTGCCGCCCTCGTCCGCCCTCGCCTGCCACACACCCGTCTCCACCTGCTCACGCTCCTCATCCCTCGCCCCACCCGTGTCCCCCTGTCCCCCACCAGGGCCACCACGTGGCGGCACAGCAGCTCCTCCCAGCACAGCAGCGGCGCGCGGCGCAGCACGGCGTAGCGGCGGGCGGCAGCAGCGGCGAACGGGAACCAGTCGGGCGGCGCGAAGTTGACCGCCTCGCCGCAGTTGAAGCCTGGGGGGGGGAGAAGGGGCAGGGGCGTACCAGGAGCAGGGGCGTACCAGGAGCAGGGGCGGGCGGCGGGGACATGGGGAGCAGAGCTTGGAGTGGCAGTGCTTGTGAAGGTCAACTCAGACGGATGGCCATGCCGTGCAGTGGGGTGGTGGGGCGAGGCAGCTGGGGGTAAGACAGCGGTGGATTTGGGATGATGCCATGGGAAAGGAGGGGGGTGGGCGGGGAAGAGCATAACCAAAGTGCTGGTGACACTTTCATTTGCGTGTGCGTGAGTGTGTGCGTGCGTGTGCGTGAGTGTGTGTACTGGTGTGAATGAATTCAGGCTTCCATGTGCGCTTCAAGGGGAAGTGAGCTGCGCACACATGCACGTGGCACTGCGCGCATGCCCGCACCCACCACGCCACCACAGCGCCCCAGCACCTCACCATGGCTGAACCCAGCGTGGTACGACCGCGGGTACGTCACCACGAACTCCCCCGCGGCCTGCACAGCGCGCACCACGGCCACGCCATGAGGCAGCAGCAGGCGGGGCGAGAACATGGTCGTCTTACCCATCAGCAACGAGCACGCCCGCCCCACCGCTCCGCCCCCCCACCGCCCCTGCTCGCCCGCCCCTGCACCACCCGCCCTCTTCGCCTCCCCCGGCTCACCGCAGCTGTCCCCAGCCGTGCGTGCGCCCGTCACAGCAGCCGCCCTGCCCCCACCCATGGCCCTGCCCCCACGGCCCCGCCCTCCTCGCCCCCCTCGCCCCCCCCTCCTGCTCCCCCACTGGCCGTGTCGCCCATGCGTGCGCTCCTGCTCCCTGCACGTTCCCCCCTGCCCGTGCCCTCCTCCTCTCCCCTCCCCCGCGCCACCACGCTGCACACACGCGCCCGTCCCGTCTGCTCCACCTTGTCCACGCGCCCTTGCAGCGTCCTCGTCGCTCTGCGCCCTTGCAGCGTCCTCGTCGCTCTGCGCCCTTGCAGCGTCCTCGTCGCTCTCCGCACCCCCACTCGCCTCCCTCGTCGCACGCTCCCCCTCCCGCCTCACCAGCTGACCCCCTTGGCCTTCCTCCTGGCCGTACACGTGGCGCTCAGCAACGGCCTCAAAGGCGTGAGCCGCCATGCCCGGCACGCCGTACCACGTCTTGGGCGCGCCCATGTGGTGGTAGTTGATGCTGAGGGGGGGGAGATGGGTGGAGAGGTGCGGTGTGGGAGGGACACAGGGGAAGGTGAGCGAGGCAGGAAGGGGATGACACGTGGACAGGTGGACGCATCAGTATGGGATGCAATGAGTTGCGCAGGGATGGCATGCGATGTTATGGGATACGGTGGGATGGCATGCGATGGTATGGGATACGGTGGGATGGCATGGAAGAATAACGTCATTAGGGCCAGCTCAGCATGAGCAGCGCAGCACATGCACGTGTCACTGCGCTTTGTGTGGCACTCTGCCATGCCAGCCCCTGCCACAGCACGCCACACCATGGTACGTGGGGGCATGGCATGGGCGCACCTGTACAGGTAGTGGTCCTCGACGTGCCACGCGAAGGTGCTGAAGAGCATTCCCACGTAAAGCATGGGCTCCGTCACGCCCTGCCGTGGCCGACAGGCGGGAGGGGGGAGAGCAGGGGTGCGCAGTGCAGCATGGGCACGGTGAAGGCAGGCTCGCAGGATGATGGGCGGGTGAACGAGTGCGAGGAGGAAGGGGTTGGAGAGGAAGGAGAGGGAAATCTGAAGGAGAGGGAAATCTGAAGGAGAGGGAAATCTGAAGGAGAGGGAAATCTGAAGGAGAGGGAAATCTGAAGGAGAGGGAAATCTGAAGGAGAGGGAAATCTGAAGGAGAGGGAAATCTGAAGGAGAACATCCACGCTTCTTTGCATGGCCACTGGGAACGGGCAGGCGGCCAGGGGGAGGGGAAGGGGCGAAGGGGCGGAGGGGAAGGAGCAGGGGCAGGGAGAAGGGGAAGGGGAACGGGCAGGGGAGTGGGCAGGGAGAAGGGGCAGGGGGGAGGAAGGGGAGGGCAGAGGGAAAGGGTAAGGGCGAAGGGGCAGGGGGGAATGGGCAAGCGGAAAGGGTGAGGGGGAGGGGCACTAACCGGAATGTCAAGGGGCAGGCGGCGCAGCACAGAGGCAGGCAGGCGCGGTAGGCGCTGTTGGGGGGAGGCAGGGTTGAGGGTTGGGAGAGAACGGGAACAGATGGGCAGGCGAGGAAAGGAGGGGAGGAGGGCGAGTGAGAAGCATAGCAGGGGTGCAGTGAGAGGCACGGCAGGGGTGCAGTGAGGGGGAGATGAAGGGCATGCGATGGTGGGCAGTGGAGGGGCGGAGCAGGCGGGGCGCACGTTGAGGTTCCAGGCGGACGAGGCGAGGGGGTCATGCGGGTCGCAGGAGAAGCCCGACCCATCCACGTCGCTGCCATACTCAACATGTGCCACCCCCCGCCCCCCCCGCGCCCTTGCTCCCCCGCCTCCCCCCTCTGCCCCCCGCCCTCCGCCCTTGCCCCTCTCCGCGTGTCCCCCCGCCTCCTTGGCGCCGCCCTCCATCTCCTGCCAGTACAGCTGCTCCACCATGCCAGCTGGCAGCGCTGCTGACGTGGCAAATCGTGTGGCCAGGAAGCGATCGGCCTTGCGCTCGAATTCGGGGAGAGAGTAGGTTCTGTTGGCGGGCGGGCAGGTGGTGGGTGGGCGTGGGGGGGATGAGGGCGGAGAGAAGCGAGGCGTGGGGAGGATGAGGGCGGAGAGAAGCGAGGCGTGGGGAGGTAATGGACGCCATGAGAGGTGGGCAGGGAGGAGCGATGCATGGGGCAGGATGAGATGAGTGGACAATGAGACGTGGCACAGGGATATGGGAGGAGAAGGCACGCTGGATGCCTTATCCCCCCTTTCCCTCACGGATGCCTTATCCTCACCGAAATACAGCAAGCAGCGTTCAGCGGAATCGCCCCAATCTCCCCCCCCAGTCCTCCACCAGCCTCCAATCCCTTTCTGCAACCATCGCGCTTTTCCCTCCCCATCCACTCCACGCCTTACCCCCTCTTCTCGACCGCAGCCCGCGGCGCCACACCATCGCTGCGCAATTTGAATCGTCGCCACGTCATCATGCGAGGGCAGCGGGGGGGCTCACCTGCCGCTCATGCGGAAGGCGGGGGGGTCGCCATGCGCGCATGCCGCCACGCGCACGGGCTGCTCGCGCGTGGTGAAGCGGAAGGGGCGCTTCTGCCCGCGCTGCAGCACGTGCCCCGCGGGCACGGTGGGCAGCACGGGCGGCACGATCTTGCAGATGCCTGCATGGCGGGAAGGGTGAGGGGCGAAGGCGGGAGAGGGGCGAGTAGGCGAGGGGAGGGGAGCGAGGACGCGGGGAGGGGCGCGACCGTTGGTCCCTACGGGTGGAGCGGTGCTCCGCGTCCGCCCCGCTGCATTGCCTGGCCCGCCTGCACGCGCACGCACCCCGTGCATGCGCGCAGCTGCGCAGGGGACTGGCGCGCGCGCTGCAGCGCAGCCTGCTTGCCTGCACGGGGGTGCTGGCGGGGGGAACGGGGAGGGGAAAGTGAAGGTGGCAAGCGCGTGCGCGATAGCGGAGCGTGGGGAACGAATGCGGCTCTGGGTATGGAGTGGGTGGACGAGGGGCGACGCGGAGGAAGAGGGAGCCGCGACGCCGTCGCTTCCGCAGGTCGAAGCGCGTCGGCGAGTGGACGGGGATCTGACGCGCTGCGGAGGCGGAAGGGGGGAAGACGAACACGAAGAGGAGAGGGCACGGGGGAGCGGAGTGAGCGGGAGCGCGCGGGGAGCAGGGAGGGCGGCCTTCCGTGGCGAGACCGAACCGTGACGACCACCTCGCAGCCTCAGCGACCTTGGCGTCCGCGCCTTACCGCGCGCAATGAGCCGCGCAGCGGCTGCAGCGACCACTTCGCCTCTGCCGTCCCACCCACCCCCTTGCTCTGGTTCGTCGCTGAGCGGGGCGGCGCGCGCTGAGCGCGATCAACGCCGAAGGGCGTCGACTCTCGCGGTTGCATCGTCGGTGCGCGGCCGTAACGAGCGGGGAACCACGCACGAATATCGCGTGGGTCAATCCCGGTGCGCCGCTTCGCCCCATCGCTCACGAGAGCACGACCGCCTCGCCGCCCGCCCTCGCGCTCCTTAGCGCGTCGCTAACGGATTTGTGTGACGCTGAACGCAATAAACCCTTTTTAGATTCGCGCCGAATCCAACTCACTCTACCGATGCCCCACCGCTCCGCACCCTTAAGTGGCCAGTGCCCACCCACCGTGCAGCGAGGCCACCCACCGTGCAGCGAGGCCACCCACCGTGCAGCGAGGCCACCCACCGTGCAGCGAGGCCACCCACCGTGCAGCGAGGCCTCGGGGCGAATCTTCTCGATGTACGCGAGCGGATCGCGGAACTCGTCCTCCGTCGGATAGTACACGGGGCACTCGGGGATTCGCCGAATCCAATCATGGTCGGCCATCTCGTCGCAACGCCTCTAGCAAAAGCTAACGAGCAGTCCGATGATGGTTGTGCGCTCTAATGACTCGTGCTGAGGCTTGTTCTTCTACCCGCATAGCGTGGTAATCGCGGCTCGTTCACGGTTCTCGCGGCCAACCTCGGCGCCCGCGAGCAGCGTTGAAAGAGACGTAACTTTATCGCAACGACTGCTGGCGTGTAGCTAAGCGATGCATGGCTCGTGTCGCTATTGCTACGCTGAACACTCCTCGGGCTCGAGTGGAGTAGCAGATGACACTCGAAGCTGCAGCTTGTGCGTCGTGTGCGTC